GGGGGGGGGTCACAACCCCACGAGCAGCCCTCCAGCAGCCTTCCAGCAGCCGCCATGATGCCCAGATCCGACCAGATCCCCCGGGACCGCCCGCCCGGCCCCGGCCCGGCCCGCTCGGACAGCTGTCCCTGCGAATAATTAATTCCAGGGCCTTCTCTGCCGCGACGCCGCTGGAGAGCGATCCTCTCCTGGAGTTTGACATCTCCAGGGCGCGTCGCGGTCTCCGGGCCACCGATCGAGAGCAAATTAGGTCCCAATACCGCAACGGTTGTGCGTCGTTTCGTATATATTTGACTACATTTGACCCAAAAGGTGCCGCGGAAGTGTTCATGTTACCTCCACTGCAGGGCTAGTCCACTCCGACGCCTTTAGGAATAGCGTCACAATCTACTGCCAAGCATGCGTGTAAGACGTCAGCTAGGCCAACCATGAGTTTGAACCTATAGCGTCCATAAAATGCGACTGGAAAATGTGGAAAAACCCACTCGATTGGGGCGTTATTGACCTCGTAAACTCCCTGCAAAGGGAGGTTATGGCAGTGTTTATATTAACCATTCCTTTTGTGATGGAAGCCGATCCTCGATCAACATAAACACTATTATGAGACGGTATGAAAAGTTTCAACTTGTGAACTTACAGGTTGGTGACGGCACACGTTGTTAGTTTCTCTCTTCTTAAATATATGCTGGTAAAGACTGGGGATATTTTCTCTAAGAGACATACATCCCTTGTTCTTAAAATAGAAGATAAAAGCGTTTTCTTTCCATTGGTTATTGGACCAAACATCTATTATTACTCTTACCTGTTAAAAATAAATATTGGTGTAACATGGTGTAACACATGTGTGTAATAGTTAATCCCACGTTTAATCAGCGTCTACTAGATTTTTGAGGTTCGTGGATGAAATATTATATCAAACTCACCCACTGTTTGTTATCGAAAGTAACATTTACACCCGTTATATTACCGGTCAGTAGTTGCACGTCTCTCGGTTTCGCTGGGTTAAAGTGAGTGGTACGAAACTGCCATCTCCACGGAAGAGGCCGATCATTCGGTTCACACAAGTAAAAGCGTTCGGTGTAGGCTATGAACGGGCCCTATACAAAAACGAGTAATGAAACATAATGTTAGGACGACAATAAAATTATGACGATGTGTCGTATTCCAAATTTTGAATAGAGGCAGCCAACAGAGGGTGCTTCAAGCTCCGTGGTTTTTTTGTTTTTTTTCTTTTCCAACCACTTTGGCATTCCCCATTAAGACGGCCAAATTGTGCATGAACAGGGCTGCCAATTTTCGGCCTTCCCAAAAAGAATGCACTAGTTACATGTAAAAAAAAAGTGGCAAACAAAATTATGTTTATCAAAGAAGACAAGATTAATCATTCGAAAAGAGTTGCAAAAACGTTTGGGAAGCGTGCAGCCTTGAGCAAAGTGGCCGCGCGCACCAAAACCTACCAGGACACCGTTGATGGCTTTGCCGGGGACGCCGGTCGGACCGATGAGTGCGAGTGCCACGAGCACCAACGGCATCCTGGCGGGACCCGAGGCCGAGCCTCGACGGCAGTCGACGGCATGCTCCTCTGTGAGGGCCATGACCCAAGTGCGCCAACCATATGTCGCGTGGCGGGTCGAGTACTCCGTGCTGGCGTGTTAACGAGAGATTGATGGCGAGATTTGCAGTGGTCCAATTTGCAGCTAGGTGGTGGGGAATAGTTTAAAAATAAAAAAAAATTGTCCCCCAGAAAGAAACGCGATTGGGATTTTGGACTAAGCCCGGTTCCTAACAAAATGTCCCATACAACAGACTGGGAGAGTTATTTGTCTCGTGCAAAACGATGTGCGCTCACAATATTGCGTCCTGTCTTGGTTCAAAAACCCTTCCCATTTTTGTCTACCAGGCTACGATTCGGCAAATCGCCCCCATCACTGCAAGTAAAGGAGTAAGCAAATTCGATCCAAATAGAGCGAGGTTGTGAATCCGATTTTATGACTCCTGCGGTAGCGGTATTGATTAACATCGCTCTCTTGGAGTCAGTTTCGCGACTCTTCAAGTTACAAATCAGACTCATTTTGATTCGTTTTCGGAAGTATCGCTCTAACAGAGCGATGAAGCCATTTTTACGTCGCTCTATTCGGGCAAGAAAACCCGCCACTCTACGTTTGACAGTGATCCTGTATATTATGTTTCGTTTGCCTCGCGTGAGACGGAGGTGCTACACGAACGAGTGTTACATGAGATCCCGCACTGTTAAAAGCTCTGCGAATACATTCTGGCATAACAAATTTTGTGCCAATGAATAAACTCATTCTCTTACTTGAATTATCGCTCTTGGGTCATCCTTACGGTGCGTCCCGCTCCCCCTGCCGTTGCGAAAGGGTGCAAAGTGCAGCCAATGCAACGTCTCATGGCGCCCGATGTGTAGGCAACACCCCGTCTGTGGTGCGCGCGTGTACTGCGGGGTGGCCTACCCCGAGTCTCGCAGGCGTCGAGCTCTCGCAACGATAGAACCGTATACCGTATGTATACTTACTTTCTAGATCAAAACAAATTACCGTTCCCTGCGCAGCGTTAAAACGCCAGAACCCATACCCTTTCCGTGTCAGCGCGTCGCCTATAGCATATACACGGGCGCCGGTAAAACGCGGACGTGTGTGTTCGCGATCATTCCTTGCCCTTAACTGTCATTGACGAAAACTAGCCCAATAATTGTCGGATCATCCGCCAGGCGTTAGCCCGACCTAATAATAATCTGCGCAAGCACGTAGTGCCTTATCCCACTTCATCATACACTTATCTCTGCACTCTGATGAGCCCCCCCCCCCGGCCCCGCTGAGGCCGAGTCTGTTGCTAATTTATTTCGGTATTTGCCGCCGCGATGTATATGTGTTTTCCGTTGCCCCCCCCCCCCCCGCTCTCCCTCCCTCTCTCTCTGTCTCTCTCTCTGATGCGATACTGCGGCCCCTGTCCGTTTTTGGGGAGGGGTAGGGAGCGACCTGACGTGGTCGGTTATCAACCCCATCACAAGCCAATATCGGCGCGTCCTGTCGCTGACCTGGGCGGAGCGGGGCCTGTTTGTTGGCACCCGAACCAGTTCGGTCGCACCGCCTGCTCTGCCACTTCCCGCCGAAAGCCGCCGCCGCCGCCCTCCTCCTCCTCCTCCTCTTCCTCCTCCTCTTCTTCTTCCTCCTCCTCCTCCTCCTCCTCCTCCTCCTCCTCC